TGAGAGGCGCTCTTGCTGAGGTGATCCCAAGGCGCGCTGAAAAGCTTCGCATGGTTTCCGCACATGTGAAGTAGACAGGCAGACGTGTAAACCCTGTCCAACCGTCACAAGTCCCCCGCCCCGCTGGTGCAGCCCCCCGGCCCCGGCCTGCTGCAGCCGTCTCCCTCGTAGCAGCCGTCTCCCTCGAGGCAGGCCCGTCCGCACCTGCAGCCGCTCCAGCCTCCACACCCCCCCCCTCTGCAGCCCCCCCCACGTCTGGAACTGGGGTGAGGCTGTCCGACTCCACCATCAAGCGAGCGCTGGCGCTGCCCCCCTCGCCTTCCGACAGTGATGTCGAGCTGGTGAGGTTCCCCATGATCTCTTTGTACCCGAGGAAAACCCGTGTGATGTCCGGCCCCAGCTTTTTGAGCTTGGTTTCCAACTGGGCTTTGCTTCTGCTCTCAAGCTGGCCCCTCCGCTGCGCCCGCTCAATTGTCTGCTCTGCTGCCTTGCTCCCATCCCCGAGGTACCGCCGCTCGTTCCTTGTTGCCGGCATGCTCACAGACTGCTCCAAGGCCAGGCGCTCTCTGCCCTTCGCCATAACCTGGAGGTTTCGCCCCTTTTGCTGCCGCTCATCCACTAACCTCTTGTTAGTGAATAACTGCATGTCCGTTTTGCCTTGTTTCAGCTTGTGCTCGACAAACTGCTGTGAGAGGTCGGAGATGTCGATGGGGAAGCGCCGTACCATGTCAGGTACGTGGTCCATTGCGAGGTGCATGTAGAGGGTGGCTCTCCCTGCCCCCACGTGTGCCGAGAAGCTCTCAACGTAAGCCACGAGCTTGTCTTGGACAACCACGCTCTTTGCGGTGCGCTCCACCTTGTCTGCTGGGTTGTTGAGGGGCTGCAGCAACTCGCTGTAGGCGGCTGCCAGGTTATCCCAGATTGCTCTGGCGTCTGCTCGCTTGTCGTCGTCGGTGATGGCGATGTCCAGGAAAGCATTGTAGGCAGTCGGGTGCAGAAGCACCCTTGCTTCCCTGCAAAGAAGTTTGTTGTGTTTCTTTATCTCTCTTGCTTTGTCTCCCATATTTTGTTTTTTTCCTTTTGAATGACAACGCCGAAGATGCCAACACGAAGACGACTACAGTCCGAAGCCTACAACCTGAACGTGTCTGAGCCCGGACATACTCAGGGCCGGCTATTAGGGGGTTGAAGACGGGAGGGCGCGCCGTTCTTTTTTCTTTCCTTTCTGTTGCTGAAAGTTGCTATTATCGGAATCAGAATTCTCAATCAGTATTTTGATATTGAATCAGAATGTCTTTATGCAGGGCCTGTTGATGGCTGCCGGCACGCCGAGCTGGGCTGGTTCCGCATTGCAAGGGGGGATCGGTTATGCGCAAGGGATGTGCTGAAAGCAAGGACAAGGACAAGGACAAGTGCTGCAGGCTGGAAACTTAAGAGGATTGCAGAGAAGGGTAAGCCAACTCACCGGCCTATAAAGTTGATGTTCTCCGTGTCTTTCCTCGTGTCCCCGCTCGCCTTCCTCTGCTCCACCTTCTTGCACCCGAGGTGGAGTGCTTTGATGAGAGCGTTGACAGCATCTGTCTTCTCGGGGGTGTTGAGGTTGTCGACGATAGTGCGCAGAAAGGTGATTGCCATAAGGCGGAGCAGGAGGTGCAGGATACAGATGGCATAGGCAGTGATTGGGAGCTTGAAGAGGGGGGGGGTGCCGAATCTGATGCCTGCGTGGGTCTGCTGGAACTTGGTGATTTCCGCCTTGGTCTGGGGTGCGGGGGACTGATCTACTGCGTTTTGATCGGGGAAGGGTTCGTGGCAGTACTGGCACTGCACACCTGGTCCGGTGGTCCAAGGTCGGTGAGCGGCCATCGCCATGCTCTCCGTCGTTCGGGGGGTTGCTGGGAGGGGGACCCGCCTGCCGTCCTTCAAGTAGGTCTTTCCGTAATTCTCTTTGACCTGCTCACAGAGACAGCACCCCTTGGCGCCAGACGCCCCGTAGTGACCCAGCAGCTCCGCCATGAGAACGTAGTCAGCCCCGCAGGTTTGCTCCACCTCGTACTCTGTGGTTTCTATCTTGATCCCCACTTCCGTCAGGGTTTTCATGTTCTCTTGAAAGGGCTCGAGGTACTCCTTGTAAGTGGAGTACTTATCTTTCCCCTCAAAGGTTAACGCCACCCGCATGTCTTTTGGGGAGTGGGTGACAACTCGCTGGTTGCCTAGGAGCTTGAAGCCCCATATGCTGTGGGACATTCCCCGCACCCACCCCGCAGCGTCCCCGCCCCAATGGATCCACAGCCGGTCTCTGATCAGGTGCACTCTGCTCTGCAGGTACCCCTTGGCTCTGTCCAGCCGCACAGCCTCCTCAATCAGCTGCAGCAGGTTAGCCCAGCATGCGGTGCCGTCCTTGTTCTGGATCAAGGGAATGATGGCGTGCAGCTCCTCCCTGTGGCTGTTTACCCTATTCTTGGACTTGAGCAGCGGTAAGAACACCTTGCTACCTTTCCCTAAAATCTCCCGAGGAACCCACTGCTTGAGCTGAGAATTGTAGGTTTTGCTCAGGAGGTTTATCAAGTATTGCCACTTCTCAGAGTGTCCGACTTTGCAGTGGATCTGGATGGCTAAGCACAGATCCAATGTCCAAGCGTCCTCTATTGCTTTCACAACTGCCTGCTGGTGCGGACGTAACCAGTCTGGGTGCAAGCTGCAACTCCTTTGAAAGACCTCCTGATTGTTTACAGCCTCGTCTAGGATGAGGCGGTAATCCTGCGGATTGCGGAGGTAGTGTTGGTAGAGAGCAGATTGACGGGTTTTAGCGGTAGAGAAAAGGAAAGATAGCAAGTTTTCTACTGCCTTAGCTAGTTTGATCAGAGTAGGTTTACTATTACCACCCTGTATCTTCTTCCTTCCTCTAGCTACCCCAGGTCTGGTTGTCTCTTGCCGCTTCAGCTGACGCTTGTGCTCAAGGCGGATCGTCAGCAACTGTTTGTGCTGCTGTGCAATCCTTCTTTGCAACCTTTGCAGCTGCTCGGTGTGTTCGGCTTTGAGGGAAGCAAATTGAGCTTGAGTTGCTGCAATGTAAGCGTCGTATCTTTCCTGAACGAGTTCAGCTTCCCGGCTTATCCTGACTGTGGCTGGTCTTGAAGCAAGCTTCCTCTTTGGCGGAGGAGCAGCAAACTTGCCCCCTTCACCCCTGACTTGCTCTAACGCCGCTTCTGAACGTTTTCGTTTCAGGACGTCTTCACGTTGCCTTGCGGATAACACTGCGAAGCGGGAGCGGTGGCACTTTCCAGCCCAGCTTAGAAGGTCCAGATCCATGACGGAACGGCAGACATGGTATAGCGTTGCTCCACCACCGGCTAGCTAGGTGTTGTTAGGTTGCATTGCATTGCAATTCTGTTGCATTCTTGCAGTATGGTCATTGCGAGTTAGGGTTTGGAACCTCATCGAAGTAGGTTAGGGGTAGGTTAGGGTAGGTTACAGGACTGTGGGCGAATTGACTGGCGGACTGACTGGTGACCGAGAATATAGGTATGTGAAACATGTGATTATGCATCAGTCTTTGTATATGAAAGTCCAGCTCCATTCCAAATGTACACAATTCATTTTCTAAACTGTCAATCGCATACAAACATAGCTAGGTAGAGCTATTATAGATGCATCACCTGCTCTGCTCTGGTTCATGCATTGTCATACTGTTTACGCTAGGATATTTCCAAGCATGTTCACAATAAAGATGATTATAAAGCTTTCACGTTATCAACATAATGATGATTATGAAGCTTTCACATTTTCAACACCTATCAGTTAACAATGCATGCAATATGCATCTCTGTATATTACGATATCAATCTACAGTAGCTTGAATCGATCTATGGCCTAGGTGGCTACGGCGTGTAAAAGAGAACATCTATGAAAATGAGAAATTGTATTACGTGTGTGTGCAATTTATTTGTTATGCCTAGATGCTCATGTACAATGCACACACCAATATGCATAACAAAGCGAGCTAGGCTCCCGCTAGGCTATAGGTCAAGTTCTGAGTAAGGCTGCCGAACCGCGCGTAGGAAATTTCTAAGTCAAAAAACTGTGCTTTGCGGAGTGTGTCGAATAGTCACAGTCAGCGAAACTTTCGACGTCGATAATAAATGGTTATCGAAGTACCCATCGATCCAAAGTACCCAGAGTCGGTAATTTTCGATAATTATCGATGAATTTTGCGACGGCCGCACGGTATCTTTAACTTTTTCGACCCCCCTAGGCTGGTTGTGGAGCCGACGCGACGGGGAGCTACTTTGTTGTTGCCGACAACCTCCAAGGCGCGCTCCGGGGCCGAAGAGGCGCATGCTGTTCCGCAGCAGCAAGGGGGCTTGGTATTCCGAGGGCAAGCGCGACGGCCGGGTGCCCAAGCCTTGTGGATTGCTCGCACTGATGTCGTGGCGGCGAAGGCGGCTCTGAGGTCGGACGAAGGGGACGTTTCTGTGGCCGACCAGCTGATCCTGAACCTCTCGGAACCCCTGTCAATGGCCGCAATGAGTTGGCTCAAGCGATGGGACGGAAACTTGCCAGAGATTGGAGGGGTGCCCACGGCGGCCCCCCCTTTGCGGCAGGGTTGTGAGGAAGGGTTGGCGGCCGAGGAACGGTACCTCGTTGAGTTGCTCGAGAGGCGGCCCCACGAGCGAGCGACATGCGCTGGCGACTCGTGCTTCTGTCGACAACACGATCGACTCTTTGGCGAGGCCGCCGCACACGTCTTTGATGATCGGGGGAGCAAAGGGGGCGATCGTGGAAGGGAGGGGGGGTCGGTTGGGGAGTTGCCTCCTCGCAAACGGGCGAGGCGGAACAAGGCGTTTTGAGAAGGGCACCAACAAGGCGCGCATACGGTGGCAGCTCAGGGCTAGACCGCTCGACCGCCAACAGAAGCAAGGGGGAAGGAGGCAATCCGGGGTTGGGTCGACGCGTGCACGAGCTGTTCGATGGCCTCCTTGGCAGCCGCCGGCGGTCGATGCGAGCACGGAAAGGCTTCGCGGGTTCGCGTCCCCGTCATGCTTCTAACAACGGAGGCCGTCCAAGTCACGAGGCCCAAGATGGCGCGGCCCAGCGATACGCACGACATTCACGACCCGCTCGTGACTTCGCTCGACCGACCCGTTTCTGTTAGCGAGCTTTGCAAGTGCCACTTTGCGGGGCTGTCGGAGAAGGGGTTGTTGAGCGCGCCCTGCCCCCTCGAGTTGCCGGCGTGTGGCGGTTCGTGGGTCGAGGCATGGGTCAAGGCCGACGTGACGGCCGCCCAGTGGAGCCAATCGGTGCGGGTGCGGATCTACCGCTGTCGATGCCTCGACGAGGCGCACACAATCCACTTCGACGGAGAGCACTTGGGGCTGTATGCTTGGAACCGGCGGACCCTCTTCGTGCAGAAAAGCTTGCAGCTGTTGCTGAGGGGGATGCAGCACGGCCACAGCTTCAAGGCCGAGCTTGCGACCCATCAAACGGCCTTCGAGTGGGCCCCCGACGCTGCCGTTCTGAGCGAGGAGACGTGGAGGCGAGCGAGCCTCGACTTTTTCAAGCTGGTCGGCCTCGGGCTTCGAGAGTGCTGCTCGCTGTGCGGGCCTCATCCCAAGGTGAGCTCGTCAAGGCCCACTAGACTTCATCAATCTTGGACACGAGACTCTCATGTCTGTGCCGTCTCTGCTGTCACCCAGCTCTCCTGCAGACCAAGGACATTAAGTAGAACGTTGTGCGGCCGGCCATACCCTCCCTCATCATACGTGATGATGTACACGAATTTGAAAGTACACTTGTGCACACACGCAGGTGCTGCTTTGCGACGGCATCGTGGGGTTGGCGAGCACCGACGGCGCACAAAAGCCTAGGGGGCTTGGCAGCTCCTCGCTCGACGCACGGCGCACGTTCTGCCACCCGAGCCGTCACTCGACCGGGGAGCTCCTCGAGAAGCGATCGATCTCGGGGCGCGACTACTGTGGGTCCGGCCTCCATGGGGGAGGGATAAAGCGCAAGCTTTTGTTGCAACCGGAGCTACGAGAGGCGCTCGCACGACTGTCTCAGCATTGGCGGAGGGACGAGAAGCTCGGGAAGAGGTTGTCAAGGGTGGATTTTGGGAACCTCATTGCCGGCTTGGCTCACGGAGACACCACAATCGTGAAGCCCTTTGGCGCCGAGGAGGCCGAAGGCCCGCTCTCGGAGGACGGCAAAAGGCGAATGCTTGCTGAGCAGCTGTAAACGATTGTGCGGGACCGCAACCTGGCCGTCTTTGAGCTGCTGACGGGCATCCAGGCCGACTTCGAAAAGCGAGGGTTGAGCCCAGACCTGTGGGACCATTGGGTCGGCGAGTGGACGGAGCTCCTCTACTCCCTCGGCGCGCACGATTCGGACGAGGACCTGATCGGAGTTGGCGCGCTGCACGTGGTGCGGAAGCTCTTGCTGGGCGGCGAGGCCTCTCTCAAGGACCGCCGCGAGTTGGGACGAGATGCGCCCATCTTGCGGCGGCTCTTGGACTTATATGGAGGGCTCACGTTTCCGGCCTTCTTCATGCGCACCCTCCATCACCTGTACCTGCTCGCGCTCCTCGCGCGGGGGGCAACGGGGTTCGAATCCGAGGGGCGGTTTGGTTGGGTGCACGAGGCAATCGACTCATTTGAACGAGCTGTCGTCCTTCTTGCGGAGGGCCGAAGGCGCCCCCTTAGCATTGAGGAGCGCCGACGGCTGGACGAGGCTCGAGGGTTGGCGAACGAGCTGCTCCCAGGAGTTGAGAGGCTGGAGCCGAACGCGGAGCAATGGGAGAGCATGAGCAACCACGAGCGCTCGCTTTTGAGAGAGAGGCTAGGACGAGACGAGGAGGGAGGCGGCCTGCATCCGCTTCCGTCAGAGCATAGCTTCCGTGCCGAGCAAGACGCTCTTGCGTGCTACAGCCTTCTCGGTTGGGAACAGAAGCGGGGCTTGCCGCACTACTCGAGCTTCGAGCATCCGGACGGCCGGAGCAAGAGCTCAGAGGAGTTCAAATGCGCCACGGGAAAGACCGTGACCCAGTGGGATGCGGAGAATGTAGTCGGGTTGGTGAAAGCGGCCGGGAAGCTCTCGGGAAAGAAGGGAAACGCCAGCAAGCGGCCGAATAGAAGCAGAGGGGTCTTTGTGTTTTGTTGCCCCCACAGAGTGATCTACGGGTTCCACACAATGCTGCGCGGGGAGAGCCCTCGAGACCCATTTACGGTCCTTTTCACGCGGCTCAGACGCGAGGACTTGCCCGAAATCCTCGTATACGACAACGCGTGTGCGCTTCGCAACTACTGCATGCGCCGGGCGCCGGCTCACTTTGCCAAGGTTCGGTTTGTAGTCGACAGGTGAGAAGTCGCCCTTTCAAGTATTGGTATGGGGCTTCAACAATTCGTGTACATTCGGACTTATTTGCAGTGGGCGTTGTTGCAGAGCCTTTTGTCATCCAACGTTTGCGTGTACATTGGAACACATTTGCAGTTGCGCCGGGATGAGAGTTGTGATCGTTGGATCGAAATGTGTACATTGATTCCAATTTTGCGAATAAAGACCGATGTACACTTTCCATGTACAGGTTCCACTATGCAAAGGCTGGAGCAGAAGTACACAAGTGCGGCCCCTCCAATTGTCCAGAGAGCTACTGCGGACTACACTGGGTGAACACGTCGGCCGTGGAGTCAGTTAACAGCTTTCTCAAGGGCTTTAGGGGTCTGGGGTGGTATTCAGGGCTTGACAACCTCATGGTGATACTGCCTCTGCTCCTCGGCGGCTATAACAGCTCTTTAAGACGAGTCGACAACGCCAAGCTTAGCATCGCGATTGGAGCGGCTGTTTGGGTGGTTGGGATTCGAAGAAGACTCTTGCTAGGCTAGCACGACGTTCTGCCGTACTTGTGGCTTCTCTTATTTATGATACAAAGATTGATACAAGATTTGAGTACTGTATCAGGCTGTAAACGATACATAATGTGTCTTTTGATGCCGTCAAAATGTTTGCAATGGGTGTGGTGCGGTGTCGACGGGGAATGAATTTTGATTTTTGGGACAAGATCATGTCGAAAATGGCGATTTTTTTCCTGATACAAGTGATACAAATGATACACAAATTGGCGGCTTGTGGCTCTCTATATAAGACTTTTTTTTTTTCCCAAAAAACTTTCATATACTTATGTGTGTATCATGTATCATTTGTATCACGCCAAAAGGACGCGTCTCCCACCAACTAACCATTGCAAGGAGTGATGTGTCCTAACTACTTCGTTTTTTGCACACCTTTGACAACCAAAGTCCATCACAATTGCATCAAAAAGAAAAGATGAACGACGTTCGAGAGCTGATACACGCCCGTTTGAAATGGGCATTATCTTGTATCACCGTGTATCACGCCCCAATTTGCCCCCCTTCTTCTTTATCCGTTGGCACTTTTTCTATCTGTTCGTTCATCTAATCTTTGTCGGTCATCGGATCTTTGTCGGTCCTCAAACGGATTCCAAAGAACCCTCTTCCTCGATCACTTGGAGACTTATTCAGCTTTTGAATCATTCGGCCCGTCCCCTTTGGAGGATCCTGCGGGAACCCCTTCAAGAGCATTGCTCTTGCCAAGCCATCGCCCGCCAGTCTCGTATCATGTCGACCAGCATACAGAAAGTTCATAAAGGCCTCAACAAAATCAACCTTAGCAACACTCTCGTTGCTTCCTTTGATGCAAGCCTCGTCTATGAAAGCTTGAAGTTTATCATTCTCCTCCGCATACTCCTTGGCAGCCACATTGAATTCTTCGGGGATAGGTGAGAGAACTTTTGAGGCAGGGGCAAGTGCCTTTTTGGCATAATACATGGCCGCTCCCTGAACGCAAAAGTCCAGAGTGTCTGCTGCACCCTCGTCCGATTCAAGGTATGGCGTGAGGCTCAAGTCAATGGGCTTGTGCCATTTGTTGCTTTTATCGAGCTTGTCGGGGTTTTTGAACGTGTAGTTGAACATGATGAGTACAAGTCGTCGGATCAATGCAGCATCGTCGCTTGGAAAATGCGGCCTATAATTTGTAAACAAGCAGAGCTTGAATTGTGGCATGTAGGTTTGATGCTTGCAAAACAGTTCGCGTGCATTGAGTCTGCCGCCTCCACTTGTCTGCTTCACAAAGGATGTATTGAGCTCTTCGACTCCTTCCGATTCGTCGTGTGTGACAAACCTCTTCGTTCGGATCTGCATGAGGTGAGTTGATGCCGTGGATGCGTTGGCCCTGAAGGAGGGCTTGATGAAGATTGCCTTCTCCCCAACGCAAGAGTAGCCTCCTAGTGCCCTTTCGAGTGCTCGCAACAGCGTGGTTTTACCATTCGCTCCACTGAAGCCGTTTGCGATGACAAAAAGCTCCTCCGATGTCTCGCCCGTAAGACAATATCCCAAGAACATTTGAAGCCACACAATCGCCGATGGTGGTAGAACATCCATCAGAAATGTCCGGAATCTGGCAGTTGATCGTGTGGAAGCACCCGGGATGTACTTGCACGTCTGATTGTTGCAGAGGTTCTGGGGGTGATGGGGCAGAAGTTTTCCCGTTCGAAGATTAATCAAGCCATTTGGGGCGTTGGCAACCGCACGATCCTGATCAAATTTGTCAAGCAAACCGGGCACGTGCAATTCGTTGAACGCGGAGTGCATACACTTGCGCACGTCGACAATATCTTGCACATTGATCTTGCCAAAGTCGGGCATGCTCTCGTCACGCTCCTTCATGCACGCTTCTGTAGCCAGCTTGATCTTTCTCAGCTGCTTTGAATTAAGCTCGTCTATCTTGAGAGGCCTCAAAACGCCATCCACCACAAAACCCTCCAAATCCGGATGCTTTGAGTACAGAGCCCCCAGAGCTTTCTCCCGCTGTCTCTCATACCATGATAGCAAACAACCCATCTGATTTGTGAACACGCTGGTAACAAGGTTCGACGTGTCTTGCACCCACGAGGAACCATTCCATGCAAAAAAGAGCTGGTCTCGACTCTTCTCCACCTCGTTGGTGGTTGCAAGGATACGGCCCTCGATCATGTACAGGTAGGCGAACAGGCGTCCGAGATTGGCGTATGCCTTTGGAGCCGCATGCTCAACAACGTTTTTGAGCAACAAATTCTGGACTTCTCGCGTTCCTCTCGTGTATTGAGTGACAACTTGCATATCGTCGTAAGGATCCACGGGCTCTGTGGTTGCATCTTGCAAGGCAGCCTTGAGGTCGTCCAAGACCCCAAGCTTTTTGACCGGCTTGTGGGAGCATTCGTTGCCATGACAGCGATAGTAGACATTCAGGCCTCTTTTGAGGAGGTTGAAATTGTTGCTTCCCGAGTGCATATGGCCAAGGAAGCACCTTCGAGGCCCATGCGTTCTGTAGCAATAGTACGTCCCATAAAGGCCGTGTGACAGCGACCCTGCGTATGTGCTCGTCGTATCGCCGACCTCTTTGAGCATCTCAGCCAGTTTAGCCAGGAAGAGGTCTTTGCTGTGTGGCGACCCAGAGCTCACGGACGGCGGATTGAGCTCAATGCTTGAAGCCTCAACGCCCTCTAATCCTGATGCATCCACGAACCCTGCCAACTCGGATCCAACGCTTGAGCTCTCTTCCTCTTCTTCCGTCGTCGCGCACTTGCCGGCATTGTTGTTTACTAACTCGGTGAGCCATTGAGGCATATTTTGGCATGCGTCGTAGCTTGGCGGGCCGTTAAGCCACTGGTACGTCTTGAGCTCACCTTGGCCATCCACGTAGCTTGCCGGTTGCGCGAACATCACCCCTCCTACGCCACGACCATCCACCCCAAAAACCTTGCCATCAACCTTCATAGTGGAAAAGTTACGTGTGCGTTTGAGGCCCGGTGAATTTGATTTAAAGTAGTAATGCAAACCTCCCGATCCACTCTTTGCTTTTAGTGTGTTTGGTTCTCCATGGATAGCGACAAGTCGATTCCAAAGTTCGGTTCCCGGATCCTTTGTGTTATCGCCGGTGACATCAATATCGATTCCCATGATGCCGCTAGCCTCTGTCAATATCGCAACTCCATTTGCATTTCGAAAATCTCGCAATGTTTTATTGATGGCCATCTCCCACGACTCGGGAGTCGTCATATGCGCCCACTTTGGAAATTGAGCAGCCTTTTTGGCTTTTGCGGGTTCCCCCTCGGCATCTTTTTTTCCCTTGCCGGAATCCCAGTACATGCGTATCGGTATAGCAAACAGGCCGACATCACACAGTCGTTGGATCTTGTCTCCGATGGCTTTCGGCCCTAGGCCTCTGGCCTCTCTGGTGGCCTGGGGTCCTGGGGCGCTGGCTTGTTCCATGCCTGGTGCGGACATGTTCTTGTGTAGCACAAGAAAAAAAAGGCGTCAATCAAACGCACCTCTAATCCAGACCGCGGTCGAGGCACAGCAAAAATAATCTCATATATCAGCAGGACTTAGAGATGGTCCATCAAATGCACGAGAGCTTTTTGAATCCCTCTGACAAGACCTCGGATATGCATGTTCCATGCCCGTGTCAAGCTTGCCAAAAGCACAGGGAATACGCAAAAACTCATCCGGAGCAGCACAATGCTAACATGAGGGCATACTATCATCGACATCACGAAGCAATTTTACTACGCAAGGCGTATCAGAGGTATGTGAGTGGTCGAACAAAGAAGCTTCATAAGACCACAACTCAACGATTGATTGATGCTGGCTTTGACATGCCTCAAGTAATGGCCTCTTTGAATACGCTGGATGAATCCAGAGTACCAACCGTTCCAATGAGCTCGTTCACAGCAGGTATCGAAGTTTCCTAAACGAGCTGTTCAAGTGGCAAGTGGACGAATTTAAACCGTTCAAAATTTAATACGCGATCCGTCCGGTAAAAATTTGAGCTCATAGTGGCGCATCGCTATTGGCGCTGTGTGCAACATTGACTTGGCAAGCTGGTCCCTTTCATAGAGGCTTGGTGCATCCTTCATTGCATTGCTGACCGTGATTTTTCTCAAAAGGCACGAACCCAGATTCGAATCCGGATAAATGGCCGCCAAGAATTTTGTGAGATATCCTGATCCCATTGGGGCGTCTGGTGTCCTCATTCGACTGAGCAGGTACTTTCGCGGGAAGATAGCAAGGCTTTCAGCAATCACGTTGCCCAGTCGGACCGGTATGTCAAAAACCTGCGGCCCGTGTGCCTTGTCGGTCTTGTACGAGTTCAGATGGAGCCTATAGCTGCCCTTTGCATACTCCAGGAGGTAGTTGCGAGATCCAGACATTAGCTCACGTGCGGCGGTGCTCCCAACCTCTTCAAAGCCC